CTCCTTCTTCTGCATGCTGAATTTGGTACTATCTTTTTCCCACTGGCCACTTAGCCAAGCCCAGCTGCTCAAAGGTACAACAGAGGAAATGTGTTCGTTTGGTTTCAGGATGGCATCTAGATAATCTCTCACCTTTACTTTGCCCTTATTGCATACTACATTTCTTTCCTGGTTCTCTTGGTGGCTTAGATCTCAAATTAGAAGGTAAAATAAGGTCCAGAAACAATTGTGACCATTTGAGTTTCTATAATTCTCATGCAAGAGAACTTCTTTTTCCTTTTACCAAAGTGAATATGATTCCTTGCATACAGCTGTGTTTGCTATTTAGCAAGGCAGCTCATGCATTTATTTTGCAAGGCTTTTTTTGGATTTGTTTTTTAATGTATGCATTTTGTCACAAATTACAAGGCACAGCACAATTGAAGGAATTCACAGCTATTTAGAGGATTTTTTGGTTTCATTTTTTTACATACTATGGGGAATCCTTTTCAGAAAAGGAAAGAAGCAATAAGAAAAAATGAAGCATGCTAGGCTGCCACCTCACTGTATTTGGTAGAAGATGCCCTTGTGCTGCATTGCAAGAACTTCCAAACCACTAACGCAAGACAGAATTGGAGAAATCATTGAGATTCATAGTGAAATCTGACACAAAAAATATTGCAACCTACTCTTGGGAAGTTTTAATGTAAGAGCCAAAGGAGTTACATGAGAAAAGTTGATTAGGCAACGAGTCTGCCATGCTGAGCAACAGAAATCTTTCAATATCATCAAGTGATTTGTCCTCATGAGATATTTTCACTGTACCTGCCTTGGAACAAGCAGTGGGCTCCTCTGGGGTCTCTCCCAGCTGGGACCTGAATTTGTATGGCACATGTGTTTCATGGTATGCTCTATACTGTTGGTCACCAGGGACCTACTCTGGCTTCACACCTGCAAGGCAATGCACAAGACAGTTCATCCACCAGTTCTTTCAGTCATCCGGGCTAATTCCTCTCCTTTTAATTCCTGCAGGTTTCCTATGAATAACATGCACCCAGACACTTTACCATGCACAGGTGAGTTAAGGCTGATGACTCACAATCTGTTCTAAAAGGTGTTGTCAAGATCTTTAATCACACAGGGTTCCCACAAACTGAAATGATATAACGTGATATTTACAGGACAATATTTAACAAGGAAAAAATAGAGTCAGTCTTGGCAGAAACATGAACTCCTCCTGTGATTAAATCTAGAAGATAACCTTCCTTGTTGTTGTAAGTATTCCAGTTGTGGATACATCCAACACCTTTCACCACTGCTTTCTAATCGATCCTCCATCGCTTGAGACATTTTAATCAACTGAAAAAAACCCTGCATATACTGAAAATACAACACAAGTTGCAATCTTTTGAAAAAAGAAATAACTTAGCTTTTTTCTAAATTATCTTAGTGAAAAATAATGCTGGTTCACTCCTCCTAAAAAAACTTCTGCATCTGTCACATGGAGCAACTTTAAGGAAGCTGGACAAAGAGTAGCCAGGATAAAATATCTGCACCTCTACCTGTACTCATGCCCATATTCTAAGCTGTACAATTCTGTGTATGTTGGATAAATTTTAGTTCAGATATGCAGATATTAGGGCTAAGTCTCAGGTCTTTTTAATTGGCCAGGTAGACTTTGTTTATATTTTTTCAACAGACCTACTGCTGCACCTTCTGGAAAAACATAGCTCATAAACTTGCTCTATGACAGGTGCTACAAAAACCTCCACAGCACTTGTCTCAGGTTTCAGCATTTGTGCCTACTCTGACCATGGTGTCCCGGCATTTCCAATAATCTTTAAGTGGTCACCTTCCAGGCATTGGAACCTCTTCCCAATGTTAGAGAAAGCCAACTGAGACCCAGAATGTGGGCTTCACAGGTTCTAGGTTTTCATTCTAAACACAGGAGCAGCTTTTTGCCAAAATAAATACAGCAGATGCAGCTTCTCTTTTCTTTTTTTTTCTGTGTTTGGGTCTGTACAACTTACATCCAGTCACCAACATAGCTAATTAAGACTGTGTCAGTCAGGAAAGAAAAAAAAAAAAAAAAGAAGTCATATCAAGAGCACAACATCCTTAAAACCCCTCTTGATATTCACAACGACATTTTGATAATGATGACAACTCTGCCTTAACAAAGAAAGAGCTCATTATTTTTGAGATACATATTTCTACATCAATTTCTGAAAGGAAATGAACCTTACAAGCAACTATAATTGGAATGCCCTCCTCTGCTCTCTTAATACTCATCAACAAAAAATAACAAAAGTGACAGAAAAATCTCTCAATTGCAATATAAAGACTGCAACTGCCACTTGCTTGATATATATCCTCAAGAGATGTATGTGAAAAATAACAAAAAGCCAAATATTCAGTTACTTTTACTAGAGATCACCACAGGCCACCCACTAAAGCACAACCACCCACTTGGCCATCTTTCTAAAAAGCACGGATATAGTTCACCTTCCCCAATGCATAACATGTGCTCAAACAAAGTTTTAAGATTTCTGCCTGACATCATGCTCATGATCACAACTAGGTATCAAGACCAGCAGTGATAGATTTTCACACGCGGTTTCTGGTTTTTTTCATTCATGCCTTTTCCTTGGCTTCAGTTGACTGTTAGTTGTCTTGAACCATACTTTTAGAAGTGTTTGGAGAACTGAAGCAATTCATCCACCAGTATGAATTTATCTGAGAGGACTCTGGTGTTCATCTGGTCTATTGTTTGTCAGTACCTCAGAAATCGATATTCATCTTCCAAAAATCAATATATTGCACACTGAGCAGCTGAGACAGTAGCAGCTGCTTACACAAAAGTGTTACGCTTTCCTTTAAGAAGTTGTCAGGTCCAGGTATAAACATGGTACTTTATGACTCTTTGTCACAGCATGACCAAGATGTGCACAGATGGTGGCTTTTAAGAAAATGAAACTCAAATGTACCTCCGGGTTTAAGAGAGTGCTAAGTCCAAATCATCTAGAGACTACATATCTGGAGAGCACCAGGGTCAACATGAACATCCAAACCTATAAACAACCAGAGAAACGAGAGGCTCTGAACAACCCCACTGCTGTATGAAGCAGGTATTAGTCAGATTTTACAGTACCTGGAAACTTTCCATGTAGAACGGAAGACTCTTTAGATCTTTCAAGACCAAACCATATCAGAAAATTAAAAAAGCAACAGGAACACAGCACATTCAGGATCTGAGTCTGCTCCCCATGCACATACATATCACTAGGGCAATGTAATTGCACCAACCTAACCGGCTCTGCATACTAGTTATATCTTGCACACAACACAGCCAACATGTTCATGTGCCGTGACTGCTTGTCTGGGACTTCTGGATTGCTACACATCTGAAAATTCTGAACCAATTACAAAAGCTGACAGAAAAATGCAAGAGGGGAGCAGACAACCTGTAATGGCAACCTGTCACAAAGTGCAGCATCTCTGACAGAGGTACTTTCACTTTGAGCTTTTCTGACAGCAATTGACCCATCATGACAGTAAGCCACTGCCCATATTCATCCTTGATCTTTTCTTTCCCAGTTGAAGCATCTTTCTTAGGCTAGGTCTGCAAACCAGATCTATCGACATTTATGAGATTTCCTTGTGTGGTACACATATTCCCTAGCATGCTAGCAGAGCAAGATCTAGGAAAGCTTACTACTAAAATTGATCTACTAAAATTACATACTATTAATAGTATTGTACAATAACATAACTTTTTATATATAGCCCCAAGGCTAAACATATCAAAATGAAGCATAGCTGTTTCAGTGGAACACAGCAGCTCTGTTCACTCATCCCAGCATTGATTTCACACTGGGGGCCGCCTAAAGCGTCAGCTTGGGACGTTCACCACCAAAACACTGATGCACTGCCCCAGCCAAAAGGGGTAGTAGTACCTACTCCTGGGAAAGAGTGGGTTGAGTGAGACTCCCTTTGGTTGTAGAATACAGATAGTGCGGTTAACGGCCACATTCATTCCCGAGTCCTATCCCTTTATTGCTATGTATTTACATCAATTGCTCAATTACATTCTGCTCCACAGCCACCCTCTTACATACAAGACTTCCCCTTGGAAAGCGCCCCTGAAGAGCCCAAGCTGCGCTGCTCCCAAGGCTCGTGTGCCCCACAGGATACCTCTTCCCCTGGACAAATACATATTTGTGTGTATGTGTATGTGTGTGTGTAGGGAAAAGGTATATATACAGGAAAAGGTGTATATAGAGGGAAGAGGTGCATATACCGAGAAAAGGCGTGAGGCTCCGCACTTGCTCGGCAGTAACCCCGGGGTGTGCTGTGCCCGGCAGCCGCCCCGCAGCCCGGGGAGCCCGGCCGGACTCTGCCCCCCAGCGCCAGAAGAGACTCGCCGCCCAGACGGCCACGTCCGGGCCGCCTCGGGGATGCGCCGCTCCTCCGGCGGCTCCCGACAGGCGGCAGCCACAGGAAGCGGGCCCGGGCCGCGCCTGCTCCCCCTGGCGGCGGCTGGGCGGGGGCGGTGCCGCCGCCAGGCCGTGGCCCCACCGCGGCCGCCCGAGGAGCCGCCGGGGCTGGCGCTTCCCTGCCCGCCCCCACGCGGAGCTCCCTCCCTCCGTCCCACCCTCCCCGGCCGGGCAGCAGGAAGCGGCTCTGATGTCAGCTGCGGCCGCGGCGCGGCTCTGAGCGGCTCTCCCACCCCGCCGCGGCCCCCTCGCCCGCTGCCGCCGCTGGGGCTGGCGGAGGCGCCCGGCTGCGGCCCCGGGGACGCCGCCTTCTCTCCGCCGGGGACGCGCGGCCGAGGCGGCTCCCGAGCAGAGGCCGCGGCCTAGGGCGGCCGGCGCGGCGCCCCGCGGGGGTGCGGGCGGGCTTGGGATGCGCAGCGGCGGCGCCGGGGCCTCTGCCCGCCGCCACTGAGCCCCGCGGCCAACGCGAATGCGGCCCCGGCGGCGCCTCGGCCAGGCCCGCCCCGACCTGCGCCCGGAGCCGCCGCCGCGCCCCGCATAGCCCCGGCCCTCGGCTGCCCGGTGCCGGACCCTCGCGTAGCCCCGGCCCGGGCCTCTCCTCCCCGCGGTGAAAGAGGAGGCATGTCCGCTGCCGCCTCCGCTGAAATGATTGAAACCCCCCCGGTCCTCAACTTCGAAGAAATCGACTACAAAGAGATCGAGGTGGAAGAGGTGAGTGAGGGCCTCGCCGCCCCTCGCACACACAACCCCCCCCCCCCCCCCCCCCCCCCCCCCCCCCCCCCCCCCCCCCCCCCCCCCCCCCCCCCCCCCCCCCCCCCGGCTCCCCGGGCGCGGCCAGCCTGGTCCCCCGGAGCGCCCCCGGCGTTCCCGTACCCGGCGCCGTCCCACGGCTCTGGGAGGGGTCACGGGGACTCCCCGGCTGTTTCCTGGGACCCTCACTGTGTACCTGGCCGGGGTTCTGTGCTCCCCTGGATGCTGCAGCGGCTGGCACCGGCGAACAAAGGCTGTCCGGCTGGCAGTGGAGGTGCCAACTTACTTCTGCCAGCCCTGGGGTTTTACTTGGGGGGGGGGGGTATTTAAGCGGGACAGATTTACTCGGGACGTAAAGTTTAGCCACCCATTTTGCCACCCACTTTAGTATGGGTGGCAAACACTTGTCAAGCGTTGTCACAAGAGGGAACTGATGTTTCTTTCGGATCTCTATTTCTCTATGCCCCTGCTTTCGCCTTCTGCCACCATTGCACATATAATCATCATATCACTGTTAATGATTTGCTAAATGTACAGCTCTATAAGCTGTAAGGATGAACAGGGCGTTTTTTCCTTAACACAGGCTAATGATGTTGCACTCATGGATATGTAAAATTTCATTTGCTACCTGGTTACATGACCCGGAAAGTGACATATACAAGTTATTGTATAACATAGTTGAATGTAAGTTTTTCTTCTGTAGAAAGTTTCACAGTGAAACTATTGCCTTAAATTCTTTGAGGCTTAAATGGGATGGATAAAGTACAGAATTTCAGATGTACCTTTCACCTGTCAGGGTTTCCTGTGAAATTAGGGTGTGTGTGATCTGGGATAGTTTGCACACTTTATTGAAGGGCTCAGTAGTATGTATACATACTACAATGTTTGTTTAACTCTCAGAATCACACAAAAATATTGCTGCTACTGATTTTTTTTTTTTCCTTCCTCCCCTGCTAAGTTCTCTGCAGGAATGAAGTTGCGTCACGTAGACCCATAATGAATTTGATGAGGCCAGCTTGTAGAGTCTGGACCTAACAGGCATCCAAGACCGCTGAAACAGTCTCTGTGCTTTTATTTGTAGATTAACATCTTTCCCTTTCAGTAATAATAGCCCTCTTTTTCTAAACAAGTCTGTGTGGAAGTGAATTTAGTTTTGTGTAGTAGCTCTTAGAGGTATGACGACCCATGTCTCACATTTTTAAAGTAGTTTGCTATATTGTGGTTTGTTCATAATTATCATACTGGGCTTACATGGCCTGGGGTGAGTTCACAGAACATAAAATCTACAATGAACACCAGGGCACTTTCAGCTATATTAGTGGTTTGTGGTAACTTTGGTTTTCATCATAGTAGGCACTGGAAAATCTCAGAGTACAATATCTTCCAAAAGATTGCCTTTATCCCTTTCTGTGAATATAGCAATCATAAAGATTTTTGTCTTAATTGTTCTGCTTCCCTTTCTGGATTTAACTGTTCCGAAGTGAAGGTATTTTTGCAACACTTACTGATAGATAGTGATCAAATCACATGTTTTGGGAGAAATGGCTTTTCTCACCTGAAGAAGAAAATTCAAGTGGGTAACAATTTATCCATCATAAAACGGTGCCCAGGGCTGGCTCACAGAAGCGAGCACCGCATCTGCTATCTTAGACATAGCACATGGAATTAATAAAGACATAACACTTTGGATTAATAAAGAACTATACAAATCGTTACTCCTCACAACACCCTTGGGAAGGTTGCTAACAAGGATTATACTGCTGTTTTACATATAGGAAGTGTGGACCTGCATAGTGTGTGACTCGAGCTTATCATATTAAGCTTTGGCGTTGGGAGCTTGTGTGCATCCCACACCCATGCCTAGCACCTGCAGAGACGGGACTGTGTGCACAGAAATGTAGGTAGAGTTGATACCTAATTAAGAATCTCTTTAATGGGATTGTTGCATTATTCTCAAAGCAGTATCTCTGTTGGAGATGACAAAACTCATGTGGCATAAGCAGGAGAACTCTGATAATGTGTTGTCTCCATGAAAAATATGATGACAGCTGGCATAGCATTTTAGGTTACATTCAGTGTACTTGTCCTACCAGAAGTTCTTACAGGCAATGGAGATTCCTTGTGCTGGACACAGTCTAAATGTCATTGCACAGAGGAAGAAAGAAGACCATGCAGATGAATTGGAGACCCTACTTAGGCCTTGCTTTTTTCAGGTGTGGGTGTTCACCTTTTACTCACGATGCAATTTCAGTGGAAGAAGTCAACTTTGCAGTCATAACAAAACGTACATCCTTTCTAAGGATTTTCTGTGCTCTCACTTCAGGCTCTGAAGTTTTCAAGCATTTTTAAATGGCCATAGTGACTCAAAATGGTCAGTTTTATGCTTGGCAAACTTCAGGTGTTTCAAAATGGAGTGTCAAGAGATCTACATTGGAAACTCAAATGCTTTTGTAATCATAGCTTTGCTGTTGTATTATCAAGTCTGTCTTGTCAGCAGATAGCAGTCCCACTCTGCCACTGGTTTATTAATAGGTATTGAAGTTCTGGAATACTTGCAGGCCCTGAGTCCTTGCTAATAAATGTGAGATCTATAAGTGCATTTTCATTTAGATTTGCCTGAATTCTACTGGATAATATAAAAAACATGCCATATTTTGCATCAGCTACCATGCACACGTACTCTGTGTTACTTCCTCCCTGTCAAACATGTCTCCAGCTTCAGGCTGCTTTTTTGTTATTTCAAGTTTTTAAAATGAAGTAAAATGTAGAGACAATTATTATGAATGAGTTGGATTATAAATAAAAATTGTTGTGACACAGTAGGAGCATCTTCAAAACAAGAAGGTCAAAAACACCATAAAACTTGTGTTCAGCAGAAATGTTACCTATTTACCATGCAAATGTCCTCGCAAGTTTTTAGGTATTAGATAGACAAACCATTAGAAACTGAACAAATAAAACTTAATATAACTGAAATTAAGGTAACAGTAACAAGCCTAATAGCCTTGTTTTAAAATCTCATGTTTAAATCTAGCCTAAATACTCCTGTGTCTTCTTCCCAGAGGAGTTTCCACATCTAAGCAACAGACTTCGATTTTGACTTTTTCTGGCAACCTGCTCCCTTCTAGTCTTTCCTGAAAATTCCACAGCCCTTCCTCCATTATGTCACTGGATAACAGAGCCATACATGACCAAAATGTAGACTTCATCACATGATGTGTGTATGCCTTGGATCACACAGCCAAAGGTACATGTCTGGTCATGTATGCTGTGGTTCTGCCCGACCACTGGCCGATTTATCCAGGTCGAAAACCATTGCCATATTTGTGCAGTTGCAAGTTACTTTTGAACAGTGTGGAAGTGTAAATTATTTGAAAACTGTCGTTTGAATACTGCTGGTATGTTGCAGTTGATGTTTATTTTCAACAATATGTTAGGGCAACAGTGCTTAATTCTAATGGAATTTAGGGTAATGTTTTCTTAAAGATGAAAAGCTAAACTTTGTAAGTATTCTTTTTAGGAAACCTGCTTAAGGTCCCAGCAAATAAGGAAATGCAATTTATGGCACATTTACACAGTTGAATAATTTCATTAATTGTTTAGTTTGCTGAGAACTGCATGTGTTCCTTAACAATAATGAAGCAAAGCAGTTCAGGGGCAAGAGAATGAGCAATACAGTGAGACAACTGGATTTTGCTCCCTTTTTATAGCACTTAACTTTCAAAAGTTCATGAGTTGTGGTGACTGATTATGTCCATTACGCTATAAGGAATAGCTGATATGCATAAGCCGCTGCTGAGCATGAAGTTATTTCTACCTCCATTGTTTTTATGTCCTGGGAGATCACATCCAGCTATAAAATACCAGTCTGCAAAACTGGAAAAAGTTTGGATGAGAACTGCAGGTGCAATTTGAAACCTTAACAGTATTCTTGGATATTTCATGAGTACGAAAGGATTGGTGCTCAAGAGCCAAGGGTGGTAGTTAAGGATCTATTTGAAGTCAGTCATGTTTCTCAGCCTTCTTCAGTAAATAAGACTTCAGGATGCAAAGCTGAGTATCCCAAAAGCAAAGGCAAAAAATTAGTACATGGTGAAAACATATGCCAGTATTTTCTTCGATTCTACTCTAAATAAATTCCTGATTTAATTCAAGTCACTATTTAAATTTAGTTTTGTTACACCAGTGGAAGATTCTGTTCATTCTGGGGTGTGAATTTATAGTGGAAGTTACACAATACCAATTCCATGTGGGTGAAATTCAGTGTGCAGTGAGTTAGAGGATGGCTGAAAAGCTAGTGAAACTGTTAATGTGAGACTTTACATTAGATACTTTATATGCAGATATATAGTAGATATATTCAATGAATCAGTTTGTGTCCTGTAAAATAAACTTATATTTTACTCTCCTAAAGAGCACATGGGAAAGAAGCTTCACAGGCTTTTCTATTCCAGTGATGAAGGCAAAATGCGTTTTTGTGAAATAATAATCAAGTTCCCTGTCTAACGCCTTTCCCTAAGGAAAAAACTAAAACAGAACAAGTTTCACATCTCTTTTTTATTGCACCCAGTGGATTCTAGCAGTATTTGACTGCCTGTAGAATGATTATGTGTTTATCAAAGACCAATAATTTTAGACAGCACCAGCTCAGTGAGCCCAACTCCTGTTGGAGTCCTTCACCCTGAGCGCCCCAGTACCCAACATTTTGTGTCTAAAACTAGAATTTGCTGTCTGGGCTGCTGTAACAAAACAAATTGATTTATGTTAAAAGATCATTAAGGCATATTTTTTTCTTATGGTGTTTTGCATAACTTAAAAGTTGAAACTTGGAAACTAAATCTAAACTAAATTACTTAGTTTACTTAAAATTGGTAGGATTGTTTACAGGGGTTTTGGGGGTGGGGGAGTGGAGGTAATTTGGGTTTTTTTTCGTTACTGTGTGAATCCAAGAAAGGGAAAGC